TTCTATAGATACATTTGTATTATAGCTTAATTTGTAAAAGCTGTTGTAAAAAGTCTGTACTGATTTCTGCTGCCGAACAAAAGAGATTACATGGCTTTATCAGGAGACAATTAGAGTGGGAAGCTTGCATGGTCCCATAACGGAACGGGCGAACTGACCTCTGATATCCTAATTGAAGATAAAAGGATTAGGATATCGGAATATTTGGTTTTTCAGCTCTCTCTTGAAAATATCAACAGGGTTAATCGATAAAATGCTTCGAGCTTTACTACGCGTGCTAATTCCAGAGGAGTACCTCGTAAATTGTAATGTGACAGCTTGCAAGGCCATTCAACTTTTTATCCCGTTTTATCGGAAGCCCTTGCATTCTTCCACTTCAGTAATGGCCTTTTGTTTATTTGTTTTCCTAAAAAATGTGGATGCTAAATTTAACTGAACAAATAACGATTAGATAAGCACTTTGCGATAACTTGGGAAGGTCATTACAAAAATGCAAAAGATGAAACTAAAGCTACTTACTCTCCATCGCACTCAATGATTGATCCTGTTATTTTGTAATGGAAGAAGGCCTATCTTTTATTTTTCTACCATAAGAATCAAATCCAAAAGACATCATCTGAAAGACTATGTATAGAAACTCCTTGAGTAGCTAGTGCCCGTGGGTTTCAATAACGCACAGCAAGCGCTGCTTTTATGGGAGCTTCCAAGAAACGTTCTTTTGCGCGCTCGAAAATTCTGCGCAAAGATACAAGATCACATGTTTCCACGGCTAAAGTGCAAGCTCTGGCTCATCAAAAATTGGCTCTCCTAATTGTGTCGATCTGCCAATTTTTGGCAAGCCTGTGAGTGGGCTGTCTTTTGTTCTCAAATATGCAGTGTGCAGGCTACGCGCACGAATCTCTCTTGAGGGTTGTTCAAGAATTATGGAGTAAGCGGCGAATTCAGTGAAAAAATAAATAAATAAATAAACAAAAACAAAGAAAAGCTTGCAGTGAAACACCAATATAGCGAACCCCTGATAACCAAACCCCGAACGGTATGAGGAAGACATCCTCTCTCCACCCTGTTCGCCAATTGTATACTAACTGTACTGCGGAAAATCCGAATATAATCATGATGATCCCCCTTAAGGCGAAAGATTTTAGCTGTCTGCCTTGGCTCTTCGATGTGTAGGGGTTCTTCTAATTAGCCCTTGACAAGAATTGTTTAAGAGGATTCTCCAAGATCAAGTAAAACATGTTATATTCGGTCGTTGCGAAAATAGAGCGGTCGGTGATTAAAATGATCAAAGTGGATTACATGACATTTAAAGTATACTTCATTAAATTAGTTCCGTGTCCAAAACAAAGCCCTCACCTTAAATTAAAGCACACTCCAGAGTCACTTCAAGTTTGTTTGCGTTGGTAGTGGACTGTTGTTGCTTAAGTCAATATCCGCGAGCCCAATAACAAATTTTCCAGAACAGGAAGAATTTTTTTCTAAAAAAAACTTTATTCTGCCACGTGTGCTAATGACTTGCTTTTAATTATTACTTAAACTTTAACTCAGGTTGCTCTTGCAGGTATATTGGACAGATGTAGCCACAACGAGCTCTTGCTTTCATAAACACAACTGAAAAAGAACTTATTTATATATATGTGGCTGTTGCCGTGACTCNCTGATAACCAAACCCCGAACGGTATGAGGAAGACATCCTCTCTCCACCCTGTTCGCCAATTGTATACTAACTGTACTGCGGAAAATCCGAATATAATCATGATGATCCCCCTTAAGGCGAAAGATTTTAGCTGTCTGCCTTGGCTCTTCGATGTGTAGGGGTTCTTCTAATTAGCCCTTGACAAGAATTGTTTAAGAGGATTCTCCAAGATCAAGTAAAACATGTTATATTCGGTCGTTGCGAAAATAGAGCGGTCGGTGATTAAAATGATCAAAGTGGATTACATGACATTTAAAGTATACTTCATTAAATTAGTTCCGTGTCCAAAACAAAGCCCTCACCTTAAATTAAAGCACACTCCAGAGTCACTTCAAGTTTGTTTGCGTTGGTAGTGGACTGTTGTTGCTTAAGTCAATATCCGCGAGCCCAATAACAAATTTTCCAGAACAGGAAGAATTTTTTTCTAAAAAAAACTTTATTCTGCCACGTGTGCTAATGACTTGCTTTTAATTATTACTTAAACTTTAACTCAGGTTGCTCTTGCAGGTATATTGGACAGATGTAGCCACAACGAGCTCTTGCTTTCATAAACACAACTGAAAAAGAACTTATTTATATATATGTGGCTGTTGCCGTGACTCACTGTGATCATAACGCGTTTAGTGTTGTTTCGTCGCGTGCTAATCGTCTGTCTGTGTCATTTAACAAAAGCTATATATAACAAATGTTTCAAACCAATGCTCTTGTACTTGTAATTATAAAAGGAAGTATAATTGCAACCCGCAAATGGCCACTGGACCTCACCGACAGCCGGAATGGACGCCATAGAGGCGCAGTATAAAATTGGCCGTTTAAAGTGTTAATTTAAAGGAAGTTAACTTAAGCTTGCAATTTATACTGCCGCGCTTAAATTCGAACAGCTCGTGTAAAATTTGCGATAAACTAAAATTAAAGTAATCTAGAGGAAATTGCGCTGAATCAACTATAATTAGGTGCCTGCAATCATTAGCGTTGAGATAGCGGTATCTTTTTGTTTCTGAACAATCCGTGCGATTTAGAGGCTTAATCTACTCCAGAACATGCTTTTAATTTGGTGTAAATCAGTTGTAGAGTACTAGTATACTTTCCTTGCAGATTAGGCAACATACAGTCTATACGGCTCATACCTTGTGGTCATTTTGACCATTTGATTAAATTAAAGGATGTTACTTAAAATAAAGGTAAAAATTGAAAGTGGTGTCAGTCTAACGTTGTAATTTTTAAAAAATAAACTATTTTTGGAGTCTCAGAAACACAGAGAATAAAACAAGAGAAAAGCGGCGGGAGAGAGAAGTGAATGGGCACCTCTCTTTATCCAAATAGGCTATTTTCGTGCTATGTTCATTTCTTTGAGGATATATTGAAACTCTCCGAAAGGAGTTTGAAGCAAATAATTTGACTTTGAAAGTTCCTTCCAGGCTTTCATGTCTGCACTCTCTGTGGCAAATCCGTCACTCTCCCCAGTTCGATCCCTTGCAAAATCTAACCCGATATGACCATGAGTATCAGGTTCAACAGGGATGGGGTAGAGGGAGAGGCTTTGTAAGGGGGACTCAGATAAAAAAGGAGGGGTGGTGGTGAGGGGAGAGGTGTAAACTAACGGTTCGACCTAGCTGTCTCAGTGATTTCACTTTCTTTAAAAGTACGTGAATACCACCACCAAATGCTTATAAGTCAGGAAATTGTCTCTTAAGTAGTAGCGTGTGTTACGTGTCACCAAGGTCGTGGAATTGGGGCAAAACGTGTTGTAATGCAGAAATCTGACCAGGTATAAGACGTATAACTCTTGTACAAAACTACTCAAAGTCCAATGTTACGTAATCTGAAGTAATTCGAAATACCCCAAAGATTTATTTCTAGCGGTCAGGTCGGTCAGGAAACATAAAAATATATGTTTCCAGCACTTTAGGCACGCACTGCACGCATTTTGGCAACGGATTTCGAAGAGGAAATGGATGCATTTAAGTAGTGTCAGGAGACCGGTACTGTCATTTACATTTCGATAAATAATCTTAGCTATCAAGACGTTTTCTTGGAACGGTAATTTTCCGTGATATAAGCTAGATATAATGTGTCATTTTTACATCATACTGGACCAATGTATTAAAAACACTTTTTACAAATGGCTGCTCTTCGCGTGTAAACATCTGGACGATTTAATACATTTTCATCACTCTTAAGCCACTTTCCGGTAATCTTGATCTTGATAAATGTTTTTACGCCTTCTAATGTTTCCGTGGAACATTTTGTTGCAAAAGGATGTATTCCGGCGGTAAACACGCTACATCCGCGGTGGCTTGGCCCTCTCACGTTATATCCAATGTACGTGCCGTGCGAAGCAAGCCTCAACACGAGTGAGCAAGTGAACGTTTAGCAAAGACGTTGGAAGCAGTTGACACCCGGTCAAATGCAAAACTACTCATTACGTCTGTGAACTGCAGTAGTGTCCTGTAACGAAGACCGTACGGGGGCGTCGGCGTCACTTGATGAGGAACATTAAATTTTGTGGCGGGAATACTCTCAGAACAGAATAAAAACTAGTACCAAACATGCGCATTGGTCGTTTTTTGTTTTGTTTTCACACAGTCGTGTATTTCTTGTTGATATTTTGTCGTGCAGCTTATCTAATTGTGATACTCTTTTGCTATCTCTTGACGTCAAAATGGATCATATCGCTGACTGTCTTAACTGTTATAGAGATGATTTGCCCGGAAATTTGAGCAAACACCACTGCCCCCGAAAAAAATTCTTTGCTTACAAGTCCCCACCAAAAGAAAATAAAACCAGTCCAGTCTTTATCCTCTCTCGGTCCCCACTGGAAGCAGTGCATAAATATTATATAACATTGATCTTAAATTTATTTGGTTTGAACACTGTTACATCAGGCACATTTCCAAACCCTGATAAATGCACAAAATAGAATTTAGGTAATACTACAGTTACGAGTAAATCAAGATAATTTAGTATTTTATAGTAACATTATTTAAAACATAATGTACAATAAATTGCTGTTAAATTCTCTATTAAAGTTTTTCTCTATATAATAAAAATTAAATAGTAGTTTCAGCCAAAGTGCCTTAAGGTTTCATACGAAACATCATGTTGGCATGGCAACGTCATAAATTGTATGGCGCACGAGTTCGAAAACACAACGAAACAACTTTTTTGGAGTGTGGGGCTGGTGGGATAATCAGTATTAATCGATTTTTTCGAAGAAAACTAAACGTTTTGTTGTGCACAATGCTCTTACAATACTTTCTTGTACGTCCTTACTAGGGAGTTTAAGACCCGACGACGCGTCGGCTTTTTGTACGACTACGTCGTGTAAATGGTTACTTTTACGTTGTAAAGTGGACGTAAACAAGCGACGATGAAATTTTATTTCACTGACGAAGTAAGTGGGTAGGAATAATCGCGATAAAGACTGCAGGATCGCAAATTCACTTTTTAAGCGACGTTTTCGCTGCCACCGCCTCCTTTAAAGTCCCTGATATCAAACTCAGAAAACCACGAATACTTAAAATATTTCAGGCACGTAAACTGTGCAGTAACTAATCACAAGAAAGCTCGTGGCAAGTGCAAACTATTTTTACCGTTGCGTTTTCAGTTTTGTGCGCGGTTTAGTTTTCTCGCGCCTTATAGGCTTTTGGCCTCGCAACGCAATGTACTTCATAATAATTATTTCTGGTGTTCACTGACTGATTTCTGAGTTTCACAGGAAACTGAGCTATACTAGATTGTCTAAAGAAGGACAATACCTCAAAAAAATCTTATTAATTTCCGGAGTTCCAAGTCCAGAGTCCAGACTTCAGAGTTTGCGGTACAAGGTCTAGCCCAGGTCCCCCCCACATAAGACTGAAATGTATAGGGGTGACAATGAATACTTTAAATTTTGAAATAAGGGGTTTAAATGGGTAACGACCACCACGTTTTTTCGGCAGCCTCGTTAATAGTACGACTACATCCATTCATACTAACATTCTGACCTACAAGTGACATTAAGTCTTTCTTATTTGGAAATCACGTACGACCAGATTTTCCTGTCAGTTCGGGAGTCAAATCATGGGGTCTTACTCAATCTTGATGGAGCTTACCATTTGTCAGAACTGACTGGCCACACCAGTCTAGTCGTAAGGAAGATTTCAATCCTAAGCTGGACTATGCAGCGAGATCAGTTAATTTCTTAATCAGTGGAATACACGGCAGCGATGGAGAAAACACTAGTACTATTTTATTTTCAAAATGGCTGACCTAGAAGCCGGCCAGTTCTGACTTTGGAAAGTGCCCGGTGAGGGCGGGGGAGGAGTTACTCTGTATAATGGCCTATTCGAAGTGGCTCCGCCCGAAAGGGGTCCATATTTCAGGCTTCAGGTATGGGAAAGGGTAGGGATTTCACTAGTTAGAGTGTAAGAAAGGGTAGGAAAATCTGGTATTTCGGTCTGTAAAAGGCCTAATAAGGCTAACTGATGTGTTTTATGGCTTTGAAAAAGTCGGGAAAACGTACTGAATTCATGATTTGTTCATAATTAAAAGACAGTGCATTTACACCTGTTAAAAGGGATGCAAAGTTCTAAACTAGGTATTTGAAAGGCATACTTTTTCTATCAAAAATAGTATATATAGGGGTAAAGGGTTGGACCATGGGGGGGAGCTTCCCCGTATAAAACTATGTTGAGTACCCCTCCCTTCCTCCTTGGAAAGCGCCCTTTAAGAGCGTAGCTTTTAAGAAATTGGAACCCATATTTAATGGATTTCATTTAATACGGGGTGTGTTGACTTAAAATTCCATTCACACAACGGAACACTTCTCCACCACCAGAAGCATCTCCCATAAATCTACGTCCTGCTCTGTTCTCAGTTTGTCTGGATTCTTGATGCAAGAAACGCCAAGAAGCAAGGCAGCACCGACCAACATGATGGTTCCAACCATGTGAAATACTGGAACGTAAGATCCACTAATATCTGCAACCAATCCTGAAGAGAGAACAAATAAATGAGAAAAACGAAAAAATATGTTTAGAAATTATTGAATGAGGCTGAGTAGGATGTGAAGAATTATACAAATCGAGGAGGATGTTATCCACCGAGGCAACATCCTCCGAGATCGATCTGCATAATTCTTCACATCCTACGAAAGCCGAATTCGATAATTGCTTTATTATTCTTTTAATTATTTAAAATGCTTCTAAGTTCTGAACAAGACTACCTACTCATAGACTTTCTTCAAACCTTTGGCTTAATTCTCGGTACGGTTTCAAAAGCAGATGTTTTTCCTTGCAGATACATGTACTCGTCAAAAAATAGCTGAAATCCATCGGGCGATATGTTTAGCGTATTCTTGTAGTTCTCCCGTCCAGATTAAGTAAAAAATCAGCTATTTCGTCTTCGGATAACCGTGAACGCCATTTGTTCTAGTTCACTCGTGAATAAACAGCCTGGCGGCTTGGCGATGGTCTATTGCCCTACCAGCCTCGTTTCCAATCAAATATACTATCGATCAACCTCGTTTCCAATTCAAATATACCGTCGAATGGATGGTATACAAGTAATGCTTCCATTTTTCAAATATGGTAAACGCCACTTGGTTATGAACGATAAGTTGGGGCTTTGGAGCCAATCAGAAACGGTGAATTGTTTTGAATGCATAATAATAACTTTCATGCTTGGCTCCGAGGATCAGGGAAGTTAAAAAAAAAAAACGAAACAGAAAAAAAAGAATTTTATAGCCTTTCACGACCATCTTAGAGTACACTTGTCCCAGAACATTGAAACAATGACCATGTTGCTAGCGGTAATTAAAAGTAGCGTTTGTCAACACACTGCTATTAAAGAAAATAGACATTGCAGACAGTGTAACCAAATATAGGCTATCCTCATTACATACATGTAGGTCATTCAAATTTTAATAATTGTAATTTGCCTTTGAGTAGATTATGTACTGTTAAGTTCCTTGGCGGTCAATTTTACAGTTATAAAGATAGCCTTCAAAATTTAAATCGCATCACGTGATCTCAGTATAGTTTTAATTTTTTTAAAGGGATGTCGCTCTTTTGTTTACTTTCACGTTCTGTGCTTAAATTTTATTGTTAACCGCTGAAAGAGACTAATATAAAACCTTGAGCATGCGTGGGTGTGAGGAGGGTGAAAGGGGCTTCGAGTGAAATCTACCCCGCCTTAAGTCTTTTCTTGTACATGCGCGTTGTCCACTTTCAATTAACTCCTACTTCTCAGCATTTTTTAAGTATATCAAGTGTGAAACTACATTAGTTTTAGATCAGTGGGACGTTTAGAAACTACATAACTCATTTTAAAAATATATACCTCCAAGAGCCGGACCACAAGCTGAAGTGATACATGACAGACAATTATAAATGCCAAATCCCAATGGCTTTAGCCTCTCCGGGAGACTGTTTAATATAGCAATATTAATGCCGCATCCCACTGTACCGTCAGCCAATCCATAGAATACAAAATATATTACAAAATGAAACTGCGTCGAGGCAAAAGGCAACAGGATGGTAAACACGCCTTCTAGAGCAGCTGCTACGGTGTATATGTAGCACGGATTAACCCACGTGAGGTCATTCACTCGACCAATCACGGGACGGACTAGCAACGAGGCTATTCCACTGTAGATGTACAGTCGCGAGGCTTTCACTTCAGAGGATCCTCTGTCTTCGAGAAACCGAACCTGTAAAGTAAGTTGGATCATGTTACAAATGCACTTAAATATAGTATTATTTAGCCCGTTTTTCTCTTAATTATTATCATTATCATTATTACTATTATTGTTATTATTATTACTATTATCATCATCATCATCATCATCATCATCATCATCATCAGTAGTAGTAGTAGTAGTAGTAGCAGTAGCAGTAGCAGTAGCACTAGCAGTAGCAGTAGCAGTAGCAGTAGCAGTAGCAGTAGTAGTAGCAGTAGCAGTAGCAGTAGCAGTAGTAGTAGTAGTAGTAGTAGTAGTAGTAGTAGTAGTAGTAGTAGTAGTAGTAGTAGTAGTAGTAGTAGTAGTAGTAGTAGTAGTAATTTAGCCCGTTTCTAGCGTCATGTTGCATGACTCACAGTGGGAAGACAAAACATGTAATCTGTAACTACTATTTCATAGCATTCGTAGCATCCGTCTAAAGTGATTCCTTAAAATGGCATGTCAGTAAAATAATTAAAATAAGATCTTGCAATGAAGAAAAGCTTGCCCTTGCGTTTGCTACTTACTTTTTAAAATACTGAACCGTCCACCCTAAGTCTTAAATCATTCCGAAAGGGGGGGGGGGGGGGGGCGGGGAAGCTACGTCCTTAAAAGAGGCTAATGGGAATGTGCTGCTGGAAGGGGTCGCATTTTCACGAATGGATTGACTATAACGTTAACGGGGTTGCATTTTCAATAGAGTTACTAGAATGGGGTCGCACATTTTCAGATTTTTGGGGTTAGAAAGTTCTTCACATTTACAGTTAGCAAACGTACCAGAATGTTTGTATTGTAGCTGAGAAGTAAGGTTTTCTTCATTCAATTTAAAAAAGGGTCTATTCATTTGAGGGTGACCTATTTAAAGGATTGATAAAGTAGATACATAAATAGAAAGTGACTAAGTTGGGATAGCGAAAATTACAGTTGCCCAAAAGTGACTAAGATGGGGTCTTTAACTGGCCACAGAATAGACCATAAAGGGGTAGGGGTTCTGAGAGGCCAGCGACACATATCCAGCAAAAAATGACCCAAGTACCCTCCCCCCGCGTAATCATTCCTTAGACAAAGGCCTCTTCTGGAGTGGAAAGGGAAAGGGAGGGGTATAGATATGCAATATTTGTACCGACGTGAGACAAACAACAAAATCTATCCGAACCCGGACGAAATTTTGACCCATGAACACCTAGATACCGGGAGGTTGCTTTGATGCAATGAGCTACGCAGAGGGGTATGGGGAACAAGGCATGTGAAGGCATGTGTTACTTGTGAAGGGAGGGTGTTTGACTTACCATATGTACTGTTGGTGTATAGTGACCCAGGTAAAAAACTACTCCTGCAGTTACGCAAAGCATAAACTTTTTATGTTTGACGATTGAGAAGTCCCAGAACTTACTATCCGCTTTGCTGTCACTGTGTAGTTCCACTTTCTCAGATTCCAGGGTGATTGGTCGATAAACAAATGCCATTACGCATGCTAGAGAAACGACACCAGCCATAGCTAAAAATGTTCCTCGCCAGCCGAACCTTTCGAACAGAGCTTGTACAATAGGGCTCATGATAAATAGTCCTCCACCAGGCCCCATTGCTATTNACAAACAACAAAATCTATCCGAACCCGGACGAAATTTTGACCCATGAACACCTAGATACCGGGAGGTTGCTTTGATGCAATGAGCTACGCAGAGGGGTATGGGGAACAAGGCATGTGAAGGCATGTGTTACTTGTGAAGGGAGGGTGTTTGACTTACCATATGTACTGTTGGTGTATAGTGACCCAGGTAAAAAACTACTCCTGCAGTTACGCAAAGCATAAACTTTTTATGTTTGACGATTGATAAGTCCCAGAACTTACTATCCGCTTTGCTGTCACTGTGTAGTTCCACTTTGTCAGATTCCAGGGTGATTGGTCGATAAACAAATGCCATTACGCATGCTAGAGAAACGACACCAGCCATAGCTAAAAATGTTCCTCGCCAGCCGAACCTTTCGAACAGAGCTTGTACAATAGGGCTCATGATAAATAGTCCTCCACCAGGCCCCATTGCTATTAGTCCCAAACTTAGAGAGCGCCACCTAACGAAGTACCTTGGCACGGCCATAAACGTAATCATATATACACTACAGGCACCAAAGCCGAATAACACTCCATACGTGGCAAGCATGACATAGAGGTTGGGGGCTTGGGAGGTCGCAATGAGGCTAATCACACAGATAATTGATCCCAAAAACGCCACAGTTCGAGCACCAAAACGATGGTAGACCTTTCCGATGATAGGACCATAGAGTCCAACACCTGCCATTGCAATTGAACCTATCCAAGCTAATGAAAAACAAAAGTGGAAAAATATCTTTAATGTTCGTAAGTGGCTAGCAAGCGAACAAGCTCTCCTGTTGGGGGAGTCGCGAGAAGTCACGCGAGAGCCGCACGCAAAAGAAGACGCGGGGGCGATGTAGAGCTCGCTCGCAGGCTAGTTAGCGGCCGAAGTATGTTACAATAGGGACTTTAAGATCCAGCGACGCGACGGCAATGAGAACGTCGCTTAAAAAGTGGATTTACGTTCTTTCAGTATCGCAATTATTCCTACCCACTTACTTTGTCAAATGTAGGCGAACCCGGCACCATATCCAAGTACAGAAAGAGAAATAAAATTTCCTCGTTGCTTGTTTACGTCGTCCATAAAACGCGAAATTAGGCATGTTCACGTCGTAGTCGTGCAAAAACGGGCAGAGAAATGTACAAAAAAGTCCCTAATAAAGGTAGAAGGGGCGACCCTGACGTGAGCGTTCAATGCAAAAGCATAAAGGAAGTAAGGGGAAATAAGGAAAGAGGAGTTTACGTACTTAGAAGCAATAGTAGAACCTTCCGAAAGAGGATGCCCCCTGCGACTAAGGAGAGGGGCGTCCTCGTAAAGGAAGGTTTAGAATACAGTGTTAGTAGTTTTGATTGGGACCATGACTGCCCGCTTAGGTGTTCGGTAAAGGGAACTTGGGCGTGAGTTGTTAGGTCAGGAGCCGATTACTATAGTTAATTTTTATGGAACTGATCCCTTAAACAATGCCTTATAAAGGAGAACCTTCTCCAATCACCGCCAAATTTAGCCTAAAGCAAATTTTGACCAAATTTCCAAACTTCATCATGTGAAATTTTGAAAAACAAATAGCACCATGTGTAAGTACAGGCAGAGAGGTGAGTTAGTTACCAGTAGATTTAAGGTTATCATGATTTTACAGACTTGATAATGGTCAAAGATCTGAGTTTCTGGGGGTACTGGAGACATTTTACACATCTTTTAACGACTGCGTTGCGACGTTGTACTCCAAAGTCTTAAATATCGCTTGCTTTTTTGCTAATGCTGTAAGAACTACACTGATAAATAACATTGTAAAAACATTCGTGTTGATATTGAAGCTCAATTCAAGTGGGTAAGCTGAGTAGTGCACTCTCGAGATTTAGAGAGAAATATATGAGACCTGTAGATTTGAGTGCGAGATCATTAACAAGCAAGACGTAGGGAATTATAGTAAGTTATATACTTAGATCACCCATTTCTTCTAGCTGCAGGTTAGAAGATAAAGAGACTCCAAGCGGTTTTCTAAAGCAACGAATTAATTTGAAAAACCCGCTTTGCAGTCCAATCTAAATGTTTTAATTCAGTGATAAGATAAGCAAGGAACTGCGTTTTTGACAGAGGTAGTTCGAAAATAAGCACGCGATACCAGCCCCCCCCCCGGGGGGGGGCACTCCCATCAAAAAGAGATACATGCAAGGGGCAAAATTTAAAGTTGCTTCGTCTTGAACACGCTGAGTGATACCAAAATGTTCAGTTTACAAACGGGCAACAATCAGTCCCGCACGTTCACAGTTTCGCGGGAGTATTCCCCAGGCCTCCTCCCGAAAGGATGCCAATTCTCATATGAGGTGCTCTTCTATGTTGTTTCTTTACCTGTGTTAGCTTTTCCCTGCTGAAACTCGTCTAGGAGAGCTGGAAACAAGATACCATAGCTGTAGGTAAACCCACAAATAACCACATTTGAAAAAACAGCCGCAAAACACACCACCCAAGACCAACAACTATCCTGCCCAGTTGACACTGTTTCTTTGCACACCACAATCTGTGCTGCCTTTTCCTTCTTGTTTGCAGACTGCAATACTGCTTGACAACTCTGTTTAGCCAATTCAGCATCGTCTAACTGCAATGCAACAGAATCTAGTAAGGTAGTTGTAAACTCCCTTGTGCGCAAAGTCTCCTCAGTTCATGCCAGTAAACAAAAGAGTTTCTAAAGATAGAAAAGACTCGCCTCTTCCAATATTGGTCAAATTCTTGTTTGCATGCAATCTTCAATGCCATTAAGGTAAAAAAAAGTATCTTTAAAGGAGCAACCTCCCTATATTTTATAGTATCACTATTGACAAAAGTTAAATTATACAAAGTAATGCGGGCTACAGGTATGTCCATCTGAAACAGGCTAGCTAAAAATGACATGGGCCTAAATCATCATTTTTAGAGTGCTTCCGTAATTTATGTACACTTTGTTTTGAACGCACGTGCAACCCACGTGCCTTGTGTAAGGTTGCGTTACAACTGCACAACGCGCGTGTTTCGAGAATTTAAAAACTATCATTATACGCGGTAGATATACACAGGTGTTTTGGGCGCCCTTTGTTGGTTTCGTTGTTCTTGAATTTAAAGCTATTCTACAGTATGACATGTGTAAACGTGAGGAGAATTGATTGAGAATTACCGCTGTTTCGAACCGGCTCAGCTAGGAACTGTTGCGATTAGGGTTAAACTGTCAATAGTCCACATGGGAGCCATGGTGGATCAGTATCCCGTGACTAATGAAATCGGAAAATCGTTGATTGATCGCCTCGAAACAAACAAAAAAACAACAACGAAATTACCTAGAAAAAAGGGCTTTTACGCTGGCACTAGAATGCATCGTTGCCGTATTTGTCAATTTCTCTTCTGCTTCTTCAAGACGACCAAAGCCCGAACGTGGGTAAATTAAGGTTACGAGGAAAAGCACAAGAAATTTAACTAAAATCTTGGACCGAAATATAATCGAAAAGCAGAACCGACAGAACCCTGTTTCCTCCTATAATGAAGGGGGTGGGGGAGGGGAGGGGGGGTCGGGGGCGGGGTGCACTCCTTATAATGCCCTATATAAAAAGGCTCCGCCCGAAGGCACTTTTTGCAAGGTTCAAGTTTATAGGAAAGGGTAGGAATGGGATTTCACTAGTTGAAGTATATGAAAGGGAATGGAAATCTGTCAGGTAGGTCTGTAAAAAGGATAAAAGGGTTAACTGGTTTTGTATATTTTATCATATTTAAAAGAAAGTACATTTACAGCAGTTAAAAAAGGATGCAAAGTTCTGAACTTGGTATGTGAAAGGGGTACCTTTTCTGTTAAAATGGTATATTACAGGGTAAGGGGTTAAACCTCGAGGAAGGGCCTCCCCGTATAAAACTTTGTTATTTACCCCCGGGGCCCCGATCAATAAAATCAACGATAGGGACAGTTGGTGGTGGGGCCCTTTGGGACAATGAGGCTCCCCTTTGCCCTGGGGCAGAAGCCCCCCAAAAAAAGAAAGAAAGAAAGAAAGAAAGAAAGAAAGAAAGAAAGAAAGAAAGAAAGAAAGAAAAGAATCGGCGAGCAGAAGTAGGCCATCGCTCGGCTTGCTTCGCTCCCCGATTTGTTTTGTTTTGTTTTTTTTTTGCCTTTTTTTTTTTTGCTGTTTCTTTTCGTTTTCCGTTTTCGCCTTTTTCCCCGAGAGTATTTTAAAACAATATGGCTGCAGTTCTTGGTCTTAACTTCAGCTAGCTACGTGCGTTAGCCACACAAAGTGAAGCGCATTTCCGTTTGGTGTCAACACTAGTCATGAATATATAAAAGTTAATCTTTCTTTGCAGTGCAATGATATACCTCAACGTAGGGCCTGCGGGCTGCGGCTGCCTTCGCGGAGTAAATATAAAATATAAAATTAAAAAGTAGAGCAAAGTAGGATTTCAAATGCAACGTTTTTAGCAAAAGAAAGCCGTGTGGCTCAAGGGAAACCTCGAGAAAGTAATTAAAATTCGCCTTCAATACAGCGAATTTTCTGTTCTGTACTTATGTCTTTTCGCATAAACAGTAGATGTTTATCTTTGTCATGTTTATGTAACAAATCTATATTTGTCCACTCGAGGTAACACAAAAAATTTGCATAATTTCTTAAATACCCCAGGAAACCGGGAGAGCAAATTAATTTAGCGACCAAGGGAATAATGTCCTTGTCAGCTTGGTTGCTCTTAACAGCAGCATTTCCTTTCAGCTCGATTATGCCCTTGTACTTTTTACCGTGCAGTCCAATGGAAATCCTTCGCCGCATGCTGCGGCTAATAAAAATGCTTTTTAAAAAGTAAACAATGTCTGTATTTTAACATAAATAACCTTATTTTGCCGCATGTGTTCCAAGAGCAAATTATTTTAAAAACAAAGTAGCTGAGTTGACCCAGCTTTCGATTTCGTTTTAGAGAAAGATGGGAAAAGGATGCTAGCAAAACCTCAGCAGATGGAAATGGTTTTCTGATTTTCCTCGCTCGATCGCTTAGCTCTCCGGCGATCGATCCGCGTGGGCGAAGTCTGATCGCTCTTTGTTCCTTGGAAATATAGATCCGCACAGCATACAAAAACCGGAATAATCATATAAAATCAGGCTTGCATCGTTAAATCCTGCTCTCCCTTCAAGACACACAGTGCAGACGAAGGAAAAGTCGTGCGCCTAGTTGAAATCGTGGTGCAAGAGGTTTATATAATAACGAAAGGTTACCAAAACGTGTCTTAAAAATGCGAAACTCACCAAGCAGCAGGTAAACGTCGTCGGCTTTGCCTTTTGACTCATTGCTCCGGTTGGCGTCATCGGAGCGTAAAATACGAGTTTTACCGGCGTGCACTTTCGACAGAATCCGCAGAGGTTTGTTGTCTCTTTGCAGCCTCTGATCAGAGTCGAAAGGAACACCTTAAATAATTTTTTCTGTTACCGAGCCTGTTTTGCAAAACCTGAATTCAAACAGGTCAAACAAGAAATTGGATAGCCAAGTGGCATGAGAGAAAAAGCGGGCTTCTGGACCAGCTCGTCATAGATGGTCCGCTTACGCGGGAGCACGTTTTCCTTCACTTTCCTTCAATTTTACCAAGCTATGGAAATTTTCACAAAGAACTAGAGACGTGTTTTGGTCGTTTTTATCAAATGAACGCCACGTGTGGCTTTCAAATAGTCTAAGCCGGATTTGACCTGGATGAAATGCCTGCCCTTTGCTTGCGAGACGCAGTGGCCACGTAACTCCGGCAAAAGGAACACGCTTCAATGTAGCTTTCGCAAGGGCGAACAGTTGAGTCGATCAGAACACTCGACGCATTGCTTAAGCCGAAACTAAAGGAGAAATACCGTCCTCAATCCGTGCCATTTCATGATTTATCCCGGCTCCAGACGTTCTTTCTTTTACCCCACCGCTTCTTGGGCGACTGGGGCTAACAAATCGTCAGCGCTTTTTTATTTTCATACGCACGCTCGAAGATCTCTAAAGAGAAAATAAAAGGTCTGCGAACTGGCCATGATCCATTCAAAAAGCGCTCTTTCTCAAGAGTCCCTTGTTGTTTTATGGGTCATGTTATGCGATGCCACTCGATCAAAAATACTAAACGATCCGTGACACTAGAATAAACAAACCAGCTTTAGACCCCGGAGGGTACTAAACTAAGTTTTATACCGGGAGGCTCTGCTCAGAGGTCCAATGCCTTATTTTTTATACACCATTTTTGACAGAAAAAGTATCCCTTCGTACTTCTACTGACAAATTTTACTCCTTTCGCGAGCCTAGTTTAGAGCGATGCGTCCCTCAGTATAAACTGCTGTAAATGCACCGTTATTTTAATCTGAGTGAATCACTAAATCATTAAGTTTTCTTGTCTCTTTCACACCCATTTAATGCGTCTTTTAAAATTTTGGTTCTTTTAGAGACGTGACAGATTTCCCTACACTTTTATATACTCCAAATAATGAAATTGCTTCCCTTCTATGGATCAGAAGTCTGAAAGGCACCTCTTTCTGGAGGAGCCTCCCTGTATAGGCCATTACAGGGAGTACCTCCCCCCTCCCCCCCTTCCCATTGCATGAGAAATTGACTTAGAGAACATTCAATCGACCCTTCGAGTGACTTACAAAGAAAAATCGTGGAAAAATTCACGCGAAATTCCAAATTTCTTGTAGAAGACTACTAACAAACAAATGGTACTTTAATTAATTACATCACAGGATTTCTCCCCGGATCGAGTCGAAGTCATAGTACATTTTGATAATCAATAACAATTTAAAAATTGACTTATTTACTGAGAGGTAATGCAAAACAGGACAAAGGGGCTAGGTTACTGTAGAATCTTAACGGAAGTATAAATTACCATGATTACTCTGATGAAAATTTTTCTATGCACACCACGTGGACGGAGGTTAAAAAGTTATCCTGTTAAAAGTGAGGGAAGATGATACTCTTGATCATGTTTTTGCATTCAGAACGCGGTAGAGGAGAATATTAAAATAACATCGGATCTGTCTATATGAGGTAAAGGGGGAGGGAAGGGGGTACCGGGTGCTTAAAAGAGAGGGAAGAAGGAAGAAAAGGAAGAAGGAGGGGAACTAATTTTTGCGATTAGAACAGGTTGGTTTTTCTTGCGGGGAATTAATTTTTGCGATTTTCAGAAAGTACCCAGTATTGTATTATTTTCGTTTTTATTGAGTACGTCCAATAGAAAAACATATTTTCAAGCAATAAGCCAGTATTTCGTTGTTTCTGAATGAAAGAGACAAGTCAGACACGATTTCTTAGTGTACTGTATTTTTGTGTAGCGAATATTTACTCTCAAGTAAATTTTTGCGGGAAAAATGTTTGCGGTAATTTTTATTTGCGGGAACTTATTTTTGCGGATCGCAAGAAAAACCGCAAAAATCGCAAAAAATAGAACCCGCAAAAATCTCGTGCCACACGTTATTTTTCTTTAAAAGTAATTTGATCTGACTTTGTTTATTACACTTTTGAATTCTGAAGTAAGATCTTGATCTCCAAGCTTTGTCCGTTTGATGTCTGGAAGTTGTTAGTTTTGTTGTTGCTGTTATTTTTTTTTTTGTGGGTGGCGCGGCGGGGGTGAGGGGATCTAGTGCGGCTCTTAGTCTTGGGTTAGCCTGAGTATCAGGCCTTCCTATGGGGGAGGGGGGAGAAACAGAAACGCCTGATACTCAGGCTAGTCTTGGGTCGGAGGAGGGGGCTGCAAGATCTTCCAGTTTTTTTCTTCCCCTACACCAGAGGGTCCCCACCCAGAGAGCTTACACGTAAACTAATGCCGGTGCACGTGCGAGGGAAATAACATCCCACTGACACTTGTCAAATCACGTGTCACTTAAGTGTGGTAACATGTCGGAGCTTTCTTTATTAGAAATGTGTGGATCGAAAGCCTACCTACAGTCGACTTCCAGGTCGACTCTGGATAATTCGAACCTTCAAGGGAAATAGGAAAAAGTTCGAGTTATCGGGAGTCCGACTTATCGAGGGTAAAATCATATAGAAAACTATGTATCGGTCAAATCGAAGCTTCAACATGCCCCCCCCCCGGCCAACCCCCCGGGCATTTGACTTTTTTGAAAATTTTTGTTCAAATTCCCCCCTACCCGAGCCAAAATGCCGTTCAAATGCCCCACATTAGGGTCCATTCAGGTGATCAAATGCCCCCACCCCGGGGACATTTCACAGGCAAAAAAATGACAGAAGGACGGCGGAAACGCCTTCAGTTGTCGAACAAAATCTTTATAAATATAACAAAAACTGAGAAACACGGTTAGCGTCTTTACTACGAACAAAAGTCTCGTGCAAAGCGGCGGAAATCGCTGCGAGAAGGTCACTGAATGCTCAGCTTTTCTTCGTCATGCAACATACAAAGCGTTGTATAAAAAAAGATCCCACCTATTGAGATTACTACATCATGACCATTTCACTGACATGCATCATCGCTCATCTTATTAATTAACATACTTACAGTAGGTAAAAGTAGTTGACCTGAGCTTTTTATTTTACTTTATCTTGTTGTATTGAATCGCCGGTATAAGTGTTGTATTTCATTGTGAACTCAACAATAAAATACATTCATACATTCAAAGCCTGAATCTAATATTAAAAATTTTAAAACTTAAATACTTCAAATACGGCACAAAGCTTGTTTAAGCCCTTTCCTCGTAAACAATTGGCCACAAAGGCACAATCTTTTCCACGAAAATCCTCTAACACCGCGTCCCCCATGATAGGTCGCCACGCCAAAGANTAAGCCCTTTCCTCGTAAACAATTGGCCACAAAGGCACAATCTTTTCCACGAAAATCCTCTAACACCGCGTCCCCCATGATAGGTCGCCACGCCAAAGATTTTACATGGTGCAGTTCAAATTCCCCACCCCCTAGAAGATTCTGATAATCAAATTCCCTCCTCCCCGGGACGGCAAAGGTGTCAAATGCCCGGGGTATGCCCGGGGGGAGGGGGGCATGTTGAAGCTTCGATTTGACCGATACACTATTTGAGGGGAAATGATTGCTTCGGGTCAGCGGGAGGTTCGCGTTATGAAGGGTTCGAGTTACCGGGAGCCGACTGTACCGCCATGTTATAACTAAACACAACAAAATGGCAAAATACATCCAGCTGTCTGGGACGGACAGAGGGTTGGAGCGCCCAAACATCTAACGTGAAAAACGAAATGAGGCAAAACATTTACTTGACTTTCAGCCAAGCTGGAACATGTTGTTTTGAAGTGCCTGTTTTAAGGGGGAGGATGCTCTAACCCCTTTCTTCAGTGGTCGTTTTACTCGAACCAGTGGAAATAATTTTTGACCCTGTCGGGCTCCATCACGTTAAAATTGAAATCTTAACAGTTGCGACACGTAGATATCTATTTTTTAGCAACTAAAATAATTTGCAGTCTGTCTACTTTGAATTGTTATGTAATATAAAGTAGAACTATCGTTCAAAGTCCTTTGCTAATTGGGAGTGTGTTTTTTCTGAAAGCCGGCTTCCAACACGAAAACAGGAAATACTCTCTGTCATTGTATCTTATAGGCAATGTCAATATGAATGAAGGGTCAAATTCTCTTGAGTGGGGAGGGGCTGGGTGAGGTTTCCAACGCTCTTGAGAGGAGAAACGTGGGTCAGGAGTGATCGAGTGAGAAGCCAAAGATCGGGTGCTTCAAATTCCATGTTGCCAAATTTGTGACTGTGTAACTGCGGATTATGAATAAAATTAGCCTGGGACCAGGCTCCGCATTGTGGGAAAAAGGAAAGAAAAATCGGTGTTTCCCCATCCCCAGGATACCGCCCGGCTCGCTTTTCTCAAAATATGGAGTTCCCCCCCCCCCCTCACCTCTCCCTGACGGGGATGCTCGTCGAAAAAAAAAAAAAAAAAAAAAAAAAACCCCACAAAAAAAAAAAAAAACAAAACAAAAAAATTTGTTTTCCCTTTGGGGGTGCAAAAGAGACTTTTTAATAATACAAAGAATCAACACCTTCTGGGGGCAA